CTGCTGTATTTCTATCTCATCAGGCTCATCTGTTTCATATACAACATCAACGTAATCAAGAGTATACTGCACATTTTTGCTGCCTGTTGTACGTTTACAAATCCTTACAAGCTCGTCTAAATTGTCGCATTCGATAATGCAGGCTTTTCCATTGTTATCCTTTGCGCTAGATCCCTTTTGACCACAAGAATGTGAGTTTGTTATCATAGTACATCACTCCGAATGATTGTCCATCTGTTATTATTATGCCAGCCCTATGTTCCATGAAAAGATCTTCCAACHCTTGACGAAGGGTGCGTCCGAAGTTTGTTTCATTATTATTGTCGCTCAAGCTTCCATATATACTTGGTTCATCGGCAAAAGTGATCCGAAACCGTTTGCCGAATGCGACTAAAACATCTTTTATTGCGTGGAAAKYTCKCACCAGTAGGTATCCATCGTCTTCAATACGATAGGCCATTAAATTTCGCTCCGTTTGAAATCTTATATTGCTGTAGATTTGGTCACCCGTTATCATATTCNGATAAGTCTTGATATACTGATAAAAGAGTCAAGCAATGATATACTAACGGGCATCACAACACGCTGGAATCTCATAAAAAGGGACAAAAGCCGTTCAATTTGCGTCGTCCCTTATTGAACACCGATGTCAAGATGACAAAACAAGAAATCGCAAGCTTGAGAGCACAAATCGCTGCTCTGACCACAACGTTCACTGAAACTCAACAAAGATTGAATTCGTTGGAAACCCACGCAACACTTAACGTCACAGTCACAAACCAATACCAGGACTGTACACCAAACATCACAGATGAATCACAAATTAACTTAGAAATCTTCAAAACCTTACCAGTCTTCACAGGCGATATGAACCAKTATAGGTCATGGAGAAAACGTGCCTAGACGCACATGGAAAACATCAAGAATTACGCTACTACACCCATGTACTAYACGGCACTCTCGATTGTACATTAGAAAATTCAAGGAGAGGCGGCCTATATTTTAATAAACCACAACACCAAATTCAACTTTTATTCCATAATAAACCGTCTCGATTATACTTATGCGGACCAGAGACCTCTGTATGTTTCGCTAGAAGGAATGAAAAGAATAAAGCAAGGAAAAAGGACTCCGGCAGAGTTCCATTCCGAAATCAGCAAGTCACTTAATCTTGCACTCMCTAAAGTTGAGATGGATAATCATGGATCAGGAAATCCATCAGCTATGGTAGAATATGCGAACCGGGAAGCTGTGAGGTTCATTCTCGGTCTGAACAGCAAATATACCAGCGGCACCCTCTATGGTCACAATCCGAAGGGCTTAGAAACCGCTTACGCTATCGCACGTACGATATACCACGATAACGTTAACTCACAATTCGACGTTCCGCAATACAATCAGCAGAGACAATACAATACATCACAGCACCAAAACTCAAACAGAAGACATTACGAGGAACCACAAGGGTACAGACCTAACGTACAGGTGCAATACAATCAGACTGCACCCAGGCAACAGCACCCACCAATGGACGTAGATTCATCACAACAATACACGAGATCCGCAACTCCCAATACGAATCATTCCAAACCACAACAAATAGCCGTCAATTACGAGGACTACCGCCAAATAATCAATTTCGCGGAAACCTTCAAAAAAGAGAATGAAATCCGTCATTTCATAATTCCAACGTACAGCAGAAATTTCAACGTGTAAACCAGACACGCGACGAAGAACTACAATCGCTTACAYCAGAATACGAGAACGATGATTACGAAACAGGCAGCTCTATTTTAGGCGCATGAACGATTTGAAGCCACGCCACTGCAGGGATACAGTCAAAGTTATTAACATCCTGATTGACACTGGAGCAACAAACAATTATATAAGTACAAAATGTAACTTAGGTAAGTCTATTAAACCTGTAAAAGTGAAAACTCTTCATGTTTACTCAATAACCAAATCAAAAAAAAAAAAATTATATTGTTAGAACATAATCTCACATTTTTTGAAACAGATGCATTAGAAGAATTTGATATGCTTCTGGGTGAAAAGGGTCTTAAGAAAATTAAAGCAGAGATCAACCTTTTCGAGTACTCGCTCAGTAATAAATATAGGGCAAAGAAAGGGAGTGAATCTGTGTAAAAAATAAATTATACGGTTAATAGTGAAAAATATAGAGCAGAAATCGAAGAAATTATACAAAGAAATGAAGACACAAATGAAGTGCTACCATATGTTACCATGGTACAAGCAACCATTAGAACGAAATCCGAATATCCTGTTTGGACTAAGCAATATCCGAAATTAACAAACTTTTAGAAAATGAAATAATTCAACCCATCAAAAGTCCGTATAACTCTCCCATTTGGACAGTCGCAAAAAAGATACCGATGAACAAGGGAAACCTAAGCGCAGAATGGTCGTAGACTTTCAGAAACTAAACACTCAAACTGTTACCGATAGATACCCCATACCTGATGTAGCTATAACCGCAGAATATAAATACAGAATTTAGGAAACGCAAAAGTATTTTCAACTCTAGACCATTGGCGCTCATTTAATAACAACGCAATAAAAATCCAAACACGCGTGTTTGACTGATAATTCTGCTACTGCGAAAAATTACACACGCAGACGAAAGCGGCTGAACACGTACGCTAGGTCAACACAAAGAATCGGCATTTAGTACACTGACAGAAACACCTCGAATTTTTAAAATGTTTTCAAGCGAATGGCAAGAAAATTATTTTTTTATTGAAACTGATGAAGGGGAATTTTCGACTTTCAAATTCAATATAAGCAAAGAAACACGCTTTCTGACCCACATCTTACCGATCTTCTACACATTAAGGAGTATAAAGTGGAAATCAATATTAATGATGTATTATCGAAACGAGCCATTTAGTCAACGACTTTATAAATTTTCAAGTCAAAGAATTCAATAAATTTGCCAATTATTTTTTCCCCTGAATCTAAATAAAAAAAAAACAAATACAGTAGAAATTTGTTCAGCGTACATGGTAGCGAAAATCTATAGTAATGTTTGTGCAGCGCAAACGTAAAATGTAGTAGTATTGAGGCGTGCGCACCACTGCTCTAGACTTAGAGTCCGGCTTCCATCAGATCCTTATTAATAAATCAGACAGGGAAAAAACGGCTTTTAGTGTAAATGGAGCTAAGTACGAATTTCTTCGTATGCCGTTCGGCCTGAAAAATGCCCCATCTATATTTCAAAGATGCGTGGATGATATCCTTAGACCATTAAGCGGGAAGTTCGCGTACGTCTATATAGACGATGTTCTCATTTATTCTTCCTCTYTTGAAGAACATATCGAACACTTCCGCATAATCATAAATGCACTTCACCAGGACAATATGAAAATCTCTAACGAGAAATCTCACTTTTTTAAAGACTCTGTGGAGGACTTAGGGCATATAATTAAATATAACAAGATTACAGTCGACCCAACAAAAATACAAACTATTAAAAATTTCCCTATTCCTACAACACTGAAGGAACTCAGATCCTTCCTAGGTCTCGCAAGTTACTATAGAAAATGTATAAAGAATTTTTCATCCATCATCAAACCACTCACTACGTTACTCAGAGGAAAGAACGGTGCCGTATCAAAGACAAAGTGCAAAAATAAAAATCACCAACCTGCACTAGAAGCACTGAACATAATACAAGAAGAACTGCAAGCCCATGTTAAACTCTTCCAACCAAATTTTATCAAACCTTTCGAATTAACCACATATGCTAGCAATTACGCTATAGGAGCAGGCAAAAACAAAAAAACACAGTGATATGGGATTTCACGAACACTCAGTGAAACAGAGCAGAATTACTCCACAAATGAGAAAGAGCTACTCGCAATTGTGTGGTCACTACAGAAACTACGTAACTACTTGTATGGTACAGCAGATTTGACAATATACGCCGACTATCAATCTCTAATATTCTCCATATTAGAAAAAAAAACACAATACAAAATTAAAAAGATGGAAAAATTTCATTGAAGAACATGGTGCAAAAAGCGTTTACAAACCCGGACATCAGAACGTTATCGCTGATGCACTTTCTCGTCAGCAAATAACCAACACAAAGACTTAAACGAGTAAAAAAAAACCAGTAAACTCCTTTAGAAACCCAATTATTGTCAAACGGTCAGATCAGAACCCCGTCGAAATATTCTCACAAAACATATTTTCTAACATCCGACACGCGCTCTCTTTTAATACGAAAACTGAATTACTAGATAGACTAAAAAATGTAATTAGACCAAAGATAACTAATGATCTGCCAAAAGACGAGCAAATGTTATTTTACGTCGAAAATGACATTATCGACACATTTCCAACTGTATCGAAACCGAACAACAAGAACAGATCATACCAGACACACACAGACGTGCTCACAGAAATTACAAAAAAAAAAAAAAATCTCGCTCAGATACTACTGGCCAAACATATGTGCCGCTTGTAAAAAAGAAGTACAAGACTGCGAAATCTGCCTCACAAACAAGTATGAACGCCGACCAAATAAACAACCAATAGGATAAGCACCGATACCAAACAAAGTAGGCGAATACATATACTTATAGCGGGATTCTGTAAGCAGTCTCTAATCTCTATTTGAGACATTTTGTGGTAAAATCTCAATTTGTGACTAATTACGATTCACTAAACAGTCTCTAGCTTTAGCCTCAAAATATTGCCTCAAATTTGAGACCTGGTAGTTAGGAAGTCACAAAACCAAAAAGAACTCTTGTCTGCCATTTTGAATATACTGAATAGAGATCATCATAGATATTAATCGATTGTTATTTTTTTATATTTTGTAAGCAACTCAAACACGAAAAAGTTAAAAATAAATAAATTTTACGAAAATGTCGAAAATATTATGAAACAAACTCAACATATATTTTTATTTTCATTGATAATCCTGTTTTTTGACTATGTTATAAAAAATTTAATTTTTGTTATCGACATATTTATTTTTATTCAAGTTTAAAAGCATCTCTGAATTATTAAATGTAATAGATTTTGGGACTGTCACTTACAGAATAGCAAAATCGTCTCAAGTCTCAAAAATTGTCTCTATCAAATTTAGAGACTTGATACTGTATCACAGTACAGAATCGGACGGTTAGACTTATATTTTATGAGAAATAGTATGTATATTAATTCAACCGACAAATACTCTAAATTCTGCCATATACAAATATGTTGACGAGATACTGTCACAAATATACAAAAACGCAAAGTTTGTACTGACTGATAACGAGTCAACATTTACTAGCATATGTGCACAACAAATATACAAGCGATTACAGATAACGCATACCAAAACTCCAGTCTATCATTCGACAACAAGCGGTCAACTTGAAAGGAGGCATAGTACAATTATTGAAATCGCGAAAGTTTTAGCTGACCAGAATAATTCAGCACAAAATTTTTGAAGCTGTTCGGCAGTACAACAAAACAATACATACCGTTACCAACGAGAAACAAGTTTTATAATCAAATGGGGGTATCCCGACATCCAAAAACGAATACAACAAAACCAAAAAAGAGTCTTGCGTCATCATAATCGCAATCGAAGCAGCTGAACTATAATCCAGGAGACGTAATATTTTCCAAGACGCACAGGCGTAATAAGAACGTAAGAAAATACGCGACGCTCGTTGTAAAAAAAGATAACGGTAAGACTGTAACGACTAATAAAGGACGGATTATCCATAAAAGTAATATAAGAAAAAAGGCATGTACGGAATAATTTTCTTTTTACTTTTCCCTATTGCATTATGCGACGATATTATAGATTTAAGCCATAGGAAATATGTACTAGTAGAAACCGATCCTGTTTACATTTATCAGGATACAGCTTTCTTATATCAAAGCAGGTGTGGAACCATGTTAAGCAATGGGCCGGGCAGGTTATTTATTATTTGCTAATAGAAAATAATAATAAGCAAAAATTAATTAATTGACAGTTCGAAAGAATACTCGAAAAGTCTTGATTCCAAAGCAATAACCGAAAACATTGTTATGTCAGAAGTTTATAATGAACTGAAATCAATAACTAACACTATAAATTTTGCAAAAACTAATAATTTCTATTCTATTGTGGCACATTAAATTTGAAATATGTGTACGATTTAATAAACCATGAAAAGTTAGATCTTCCAATAATTAATATATTAGAATATGCCGACATTACCTACAACAAGCATTTATAACAATATACAAATATCCTATCCTTGAAACTAAATGTAGCTTATTTAATGTATATCCTTTAGCATATAAGCATGGTAAAATTAATTTAGACCCTAAGATCGCAAAGTGTAACGATTATGAAACAACATCTAAATGTAGAAATTATATGGGTAACTTGAATAAAAATATTAGACGACAAGACAGCTCAAT